GTTAAAATATGTGTTCATGTTTGTATTATTCAAAACGTGACCTTTTGTCTTACATTTTAATGTATAGAAATATGTGAGGCACTTAAGTACTTAAACACAATACTAATACTACTAAATTTTTTGTTTACAACCTTTCATGGAAGTTTTTGTAAAAACATCTGATTACTGGGTATGTTGAAACTCTCATAGTAATGTTTACAAGTTCTCAGAAATTAATTTGTACCAAGTTATATAGAAAAAGTTTCCGTTAATAGTTAAACTTAGCAATTAATTATGACATTGAAGTACATNTAATTTGTACCAAGTTATATAGAAAAAGTTTCCGTTAATAGTTAAACTTAATAAATGTTTTCATTCATGTTCAGTTAACTACATGGTATGTGTACTACATTTCTAAAAAAGTATATTTACAATTAACTAGTAATACCTTTCTTTTTTTCAATATTTGTTAAACTTTTAAAGGTTATAAATCTGCGGCTATTATATTAGGGATATTTTTAATCATATGCAACGTGTCCTACTTTAAGAACTTGCGTTATTTTTTAATACTCAGATCGATCGATGTTAGGTATGTTGGTAAAAGTTGAAAAAGTTTTGCTTTGTTGAATAATTTTTTACTGTTTATTTTCTTTAAAATGTCTGGTATTAAAATTGTTTTATATTGATTTTATGTACTAAAATATTAGAAATCTGGCTGAAACTTTTACATCGTGGCTGAAGGAACAAAATTGTCTTGAAAATTGTATTTTGAAGTTATTTTAATAGAGTGAGAAGCGCACGCATGTTGTGTACTTTGATAAGGCTAAGTTTTTTTGTTCAACTCAAAACTATACAATTTATAGACATTGTCAATAAAAAAAATTCTAGGATCACATACTATAATTATGATTAAAAAAATATGCTTGTTTGATTATAATTAAACAATTATTTTTAATATGATCGTAATTTTCATTTATTAAATTTCATAAAAATAACATATCAAATATTCTTTTAAAGATAGTTTGTTGGCTTACAAATAACGTAAAAAACACATGGAACTTTTATTTTTAACCGTTGAGAATTCTTAAAAACATACGTAAAATTTCAATATTCTAAAATTAATAAATTTATTTTGGCAATGCATTACTCTATTTGATAATATATTCGATAAAGTTTCTGAAATTCTCTTGTTGTACTGATACAATATTACACATATGTCCATCAATGACGAATCTCAAATAATTCATTCTTTAGCATGGCTATTGCAGATCCGGAAAGTCATAAAGAGTATTTAAGAACTTTTTATTGCTGATGATAAAATATAAAAAATACGCTGTATTTAACACATATAGGAAAAATATCCTTCAATATCGATGAAATCCCTGTGATGTATAGGTTCAATAGTTAAAATGGAAATGTATTATATTATCGTATAAACCGATACTTTAATATTAGACACACGCATTTTGAGGTTTTAAAAAAGGAAAAACACGTATGAGTATAGTAGAAAATGTGTTATGAATTTTAAAAATACTCGTAATAATTATAGAAAGGAGTAATGTAACACACGGCTTTAAATATCTAAAAGACTAATATCGTGCATATTTAAAATTGACATCTGTCATCTAATTTAATTATAAATGAAAATTTTTAAGTTTTTATACTAAAAATATTGTAAACCATCTATAGTTTTAAAATGTATTGAAGTGTATTGAATAATTCAATTCGTTGATATCCTAATTTTGCGTGACATTATTTTAGCTAAAGTAAAGATGATTTAAATTTTGGTATGCTAATTACAAAGGAATAGGTATACCATCGACCTTTATATAACTTTCGAATTGCTTATGACAATCACGGTTACTTCAAAATCACTACAGATCCATTTGGGGTAGTAACGTAGCTGGCACTATTGCGATACCGCCTGTTCGTTTACCTAGTGCAAGGGTCTTATTCTACCAGAAGTAAAAAATGACAACTTCATCGTGTTTACTTACTACTTACTTATTGTGTAAAGTTTACTTATTGTGAATTGTTCACCTCGGTTACTTGTAATAATAAATGGAAACTCTGAGGTTGTAAGTTTAATGTACCGTATCGGTTAGTTCCATAATGTAAGAGAAGTACTTCTGAATACATTATTATACATTTTTTATATTATATCGTGTCCAGTATTGAATGTCGCCAGACCTTGAAAAACATTGCCATCTATAATCATTAAATTGTTTACACTTTAAAAATTGTTGTTTCACTAGGCAGATGGTGTCTATTTCGTGTTAGGTATTTTACGCTAATTTCTATTCTATTTGGTGACACTATTTTATTCAGAAATGTTTTAAGTCCTAACGAGAAATGCAACAAGAACATATTTTGCATATCAAATGATTTCTAAGAATATTGACGAGCTGTTTTCCTTCTTCTGGCGATACAGTGTGTCTACTTTGCCTACAGTATAATTAAATAACTTAATCATACGGGAAAGTAATGTAATACTAACTAATGAATAAAAAATGAAATTATAATCCATCTAAGTTCGTTAATATTTCATAATAAATGTTTTTGAAACAATAATTTTTCATTTGCTTACATTGAACGGCAAGAAACTCTCAGCAATGATGTATCATTATTCACAATGAATCAAAACAATTTGTTATAAATTGAAGTAGGTTGAAGTAACGTCAAAAACTAACGTGATATTATTACAATTTTTCTTTATTGTTCTATTTTTCTGAATGTATCAGAAACAATACCGCCCGCCGAGACTTTAAGGAAAGAATTAAGTTTGATTTTTTATGATAGCACAACAATAATAGTAGTGAACAATGTCATAATCGATAGGGATCCAATCGAGTGTCTTCTCGACTAAAATTACACACGTCATCAATACATAACTTTTCTTCACAATCAATAAATAAACAACAATTTTTTTAATAAGCCCCTTTCTCAAACATAATTAGTTTTTATTTGCGCCAATTACACAGCGTAAAATATTTCTTATCATTTATTATTACACATGAAATAACACATTTATGTCCCCCTCGTGTTCTTTCCGATGGATCGAAGTTGTATTATAATCTCTGTTCTCTGCAATCAGATTTGATATCAGAATAAAGACAATCTACCCACGACAATATAATATTCAATACTCGTACACGTATTATTACCAATAAGGTTATTTATTATATCATTATTCGGCGGAAGTAACTTTGTATATTCTCAGTGCAAATAACTCCGTCATATATTTGAGTGTACGTATCAGTGTACACCGACGAACCTTTTATTTCTTATAAACCCGTTGCTTATATGTATCTAATCCCATGTAACTGAATACGTTAACATTTTAGAGTGTTTTACTTGAATAATCATTATACATCGCTTTAAAAGTGAGTGCTTTAATTGTTCTCGAGTTGAGGTTTAGAGAAAGTTAGTTTGCAAGACGAATATCGTATTTCCACCCCATCGACCATACTCAGTCAACAATCTAGCGAAATAATTATTTTCACGCCCGTTTTTAATTAAATATCCAAAAGAGTAATAAAAAATTGTTTAAAAATAACTTTGTAAAACTTACGCCAAAAAAGAGTTCTTTTTCAGATTCGTGAATGTGCATTTTCTTATTTTTACATAATTACCAGGATTGGATTAATGTTATTGAAGGTGACCTAATTTATTTTAAATCCGTAGAACTTAAGTCTAAAATTATCACTATGCTTATTTTACGGGATATTATACCTATCGCTTGGCTTGACAGAAGATTTTAAAAGATTTTTATATTTTCTGTTGGAAAAACAAAATTGTAACAATAAATTAACTTTGTACGCAAAACAACAGGATTACTTCATAGAATTTTATAGAAAATAGGATTCATTTCCAATTCAGTCCCCTAATGCTTTTATCCCGTGTAAATCTAAAACATTCGAGAGAGATTATAAAAGTAATTTAGGGTCACGTTTATCTAGCTGTTGAAGAAGCTTTAAAATTTTAAAGTAAATATACTCTAAAAGGTAATATATAACACGCGTACACCATACACGTTAGTATTCTAAACTTAATACATTTTTCAATAGCAATCTTAATCCTGTCCATAAATTTATTGTCCAATAACATAATCAAATATTTTATAAAATAAAATAATGGCGAAAAAATAAACTACAGTACAATAAAATTATGGTAACTATCGTTAAAAGAATCACATCATGATAAACTTACTCTAAATAAAAATAGTTGAACTGATACATAAAAAAAATTACTCTTATTATATTGCAAACAAAAAGTACAAATGTATAAGAAAACCGTGTTTATAAAATTTGTAAAATAATTTACTCGACTGACAAACGTAAAAAAAGCCAATACGGCAGTTAACTATTAACAGATGTTTGCAAATGACAAATAAAAATGCAACAAAATACCTATACCATATTTTCAAAATTCTTAAAAGTTTTTTTATCGTAACAGAATTTTCAGAGAAGCATTAATACTAAAAAATAATATATATATATATACGTATATCTTGTATACATTTTAAATATATATATATATATATATATATAGATAATAATATTATAAAATTATATTATAGTTGAACAATTCCAATGTATAATAAAAAGTTTAAGTACGTCTTTAAACAACTCTCTGAATTATCATATTTTGTATTCTTTGTATCTGAAACAGCAGTTTCTACTTTATGTACTCATTATTTTGTCTTTGTCTACTTTTGCAAAGTTTTCACGACTAAAATTAAATATGTTTTCTTTTATTCAATCGTCAGTAAGGAAGTTCACAGATTCTCATTATTTGACTTTTAGCAAGATTTTCTTAAACACATTTTTAATGTTGTTGAGTCTCAAACAATTGATGAAGTCAATAAAATTAAAAATTCATTATATCACTATTGAAAAACATACGTATTACTGAAAGATTATATTTTTATGGTTTATTAAATAAATTCAAATACTTTTCAAAGCAAACATTAGAGTATTGGTTTTATTATAAACTAATATTTTTATTATTTTATTTTGTAGCATGGATAGGGGCTCGTCATGTTGTGACGTTCATGTTATTCTTGGGAATGGCCAATGCCTATATAATGAGAACCAACATGTCTGTAGCTATTGTGGCTATGGTGAATCAAACGGCGCTGGAAAGGGATCCAACCATTCCAGATGACGAATGTGAAGGATATTATACTCCACCCGCTAACTCTACTATAAGTGTAAGTAAATTTAATTCCAACTCGTTTTTTGATAAAAACATACATTTTCAAATTTTTATGATAGTTTAGATTTATTTTTTACTAATGGATTATTTAAACCAAATTTCCATGTTCCATTTTTCTTTAGATATTGGGTTTCTTGCCACGACTGCACCTTATTATTGTAATTGATAAAATTTTGTATTTTTAAGACAAACTTTATAAATTATGTTAATTTTATTGTTAAATATACTATATATTAACACTGAAATAGTCATTTATTTTTCACAATTTCATAGATTAAATAAATTTATATATCGCAATATTAACTATATTTATGTAAAGTAAAATTAAATCACTCTCGCATATAATTCATTTAATTTTAATGAGGTCAAGGTAAAAGAATTTTTCTGACATAACTTATTAAAATAAAATTTTTATTTCCATAAAAGCGCTTGATAAATTTGTGTAAATTTAAAAACTTTTATTATTCTTTTCTTTTTCGAATTAATTATACTTTTCATAATTATTTTTCCTTAATTTAATTTCTTAGTTTTTCTTATTAAAATCACGGTTCTTTAATAAGCTTTTTTTTTTAATTTATAAAGCTATTTTAATTTATAATAGTTATTACCATAATTTCAAAATAAAATTTCTATAATTGTGACAAATTATTGACGCTTTGGTAATTAATCTTTTTTATTTTTAAGATTATATTTCGACTAATTATTTCCATTTTTTATATTTTTGAAACTTTCACAATTTCTTTTGTACTTAAATTCTTGAATATTTGTCATCTTTGTTAGGGTTAATCAATCATTTCTGATTAATAGTCATTAATTTCCAAAACATACATTTCTGTTCATTCCGTTATAATAATTATCAACCAATGAAGATAAAATAGACTGACGTCATCGGTAGAACGTCATTATAATATAATTTTGTTTTTAAATGTTTCGAGTATAAAAATTGTTGTATTATCGATGACCATAAAATATAATGTTTTTCATTCCTTACTTTTAAATTTGGAATTGAAAATATTGTTATTTTTTTGTTTCAGAATGTATCTAATGAAGGATCATTTGCATGGAGTACGTCCCAACAGGGTTACGTGCTCAGTTCCTTCTTTTATGGTTATGTCATAACGCAGATACCATTCGGTATATTGTCAAAGAAATATGGCGCCAAATATTTTCTGGGAATCGGTATGCTCATTAATTCATTATTCGGATTTTTGGTTCCGTTGTCTGCCCACTTTGGCATTTTCTCGTTGATCACTATACGGTTCATTCAGGGACTAGGAGAAGTGAGTTACTCATACAATTATGGCATTTCAAATGAATTATAACTCAATAATATTTATGAATATTAATATAATCCCTTGTCATAAAATCCTATTGGATAATAAAATCATTTTTACTGTTACTATTTAAGTATGTTTAAAATATTAGCTAAAAATTTGTAATTTCTTTACATCGATGGAAAATATTTTAGACATCAAGTGGTTATTTTGACAATAAATAAATGCGCTAAATATATGATCTGACGAAATATTTAAGTTTAAGAAACAATTCAATTACCTTTTTTATTGTAGTTTATTTTACAAGCGTTATAATTTGCATTTGTCACGAAAAACGAATTTATTTTTCTGTTATTACCACCCGCTAGTTACAAGATCTAATTAGTTCAGTGGTAAAGAATGCGAAGGTCAATTTCTAATAGCTTATGACTGTAATAAAGATAAAATAAACAATATCCAAAATAATGTTATTTAATTATATCTTTAAGTAGAACGACAGTTGAAATTTTTTAATTATTCGATAAATGTATTTAGTGACTTTTATAAATTTTTACATCAAATAGTAAAAGTCCTTTGAATCATTAATCGCGTTCTGGATAAGAGCGGGTTGATGTAGTTTAGCCCATTCTTATACACTGATCGTAAAAACGAAATAAATCGTTGATTCTAAGTGAAAATAATGGACCAAAAAACTTATAACACGTTCTTGAAAAACTTCTGTGTATAATTCGATCCGTTTTTGACGAACGGAATCCAGGGTAGGCGACGTTCCTTGAATTTCAATCTTTAACGTCCAATGTCCTATTGATTTCATTCTTCGAGGGATAGTTTTACTCGTAGTCATGTATGTGTTTGTCTATAAAGTCGCTCGGTTCATTGGATTAATTACAGTCACAATGTCACTTATCCACGAATTTAAGCCCCTAGCGTTTACCACCCCATTTCATCCAACAGTTTGATTTTTCAAAAAGATCAACATACGCTAATGGCTGCTTGCTGTGTTAATGTTTTTCAGGGTCCCATCGTTCCATGTACGCACGCTTTGCTCGCCAAATGGATCCCGCCGAACGAGAGGAGTAGAATGGGTGCATTTGTTTACGCAGGTTAGTAGTTTATGTAATATTAGTGTAAACATTATCTATTAAAGTGATGGTTACGTAATAGCAATTTTATTAAAAGTACTGAGAACTTTGTCCAATATCATTATGAAATTTTGCATGTGCGATTTCAATTCAAAATACCGGAGTTGCTAAGAAAACACTTAAAATTACATTCTATTGCATTTAATTTGTTAAATTTTCCTTTAGGTTTAAATAAAACCTAAACGTCTTTGTGGAAGTCGTGTTTGAGAAAACTGAATATCAGGTTTTATTTAATGCGTAGAAAATATTGCGAAATTAATTGCTACATTTTTGTTTTCAACGTACAAAAATATTTACTTGCCCTATGAATACATTTCATGCATAAATACTTCTAATGAACGTGTTACAATATCAAAAGAAATAATAATTAATGTATGTAACAAAACATTTCNACTTGCCCTATGAATACATTTCATGCATAAATACTTCTAATGAACGTGTTACAATATCAAAAGAAATAATAATTAATGTATGTGATATGTAACAAAACATTCGCCAACGGTTATAATAATCTCCACATTTAAGATCATTTATTAATTTATGCCTTATCAGTTAAATATTGTAATTTTACGAAATATTCACAGTCGTTTTATTTTGAAATGTTTAAAAATGATTTATTTGTCAAATGTTAACTCAAAATAGCGGTAACTGACTTATATCTACTTGAAGCTATTGAACAGTTTGAATTTAAAGCGTTTAAATTTGATAAACAATATTTATTAAATTTAAACATAACAATTTGAATATTTATTTTTATTTCAGGGGCTCAATTTGGAACGGTGATTTCAATGCCACTCAGTGGAGTGCTGTCAGAATATGGTTTCGCAGGTGGCTGGCCCTCTATTTTTTACGTGTTTGGAGCAATAGGAACACTGTGGTCGGTGGCATTTTTGTTGCTCGTTCATGAGGATCCTGAATCGCATCCCACCATACCACACGACGAGAGAAAATACATTATTAGCTCTGTGTGGGGTGCTGCTGGAGTATCTGTAAGTGTGTTATTACTATGTGAACTGCCGAATAATTATATTTTTAACAGAATTTAGCAACCCTTAGTTGTAATAAATTATCTCGAATACTATTTCAAGTGTAATTATTATGCCATTGGACTATTTAGACTTACATTTTGCATAATAAATGTATTATGACTATAAATTTATAAAATTGTAAAAACATTAGTCCCTGAACTCACTACGTGTATACCTGAACACGGAAAGTTCCAACACATTCTTTCGCTCTTTTGCATGTTATTATTGTTTGATTATAGTTTATTTCGATGCTCCGGGTGACGGTAATGTGTTGCACGAGATAATATATACATATAAAATTCACACGCGAAATTGCTTTTTGAACGGAATAATGCATAAATTATCGATTAGAGTAACGAACTAAAAATGAAAAATTCATAAAACCTTGATTTCATACATCTTTTATTCAAATGAAATTGTTTAGAAACGCTCAAATGCCATAATTGGTAAAATATTAAGAAGTGCATAGAACATCCAAAATTGCCATAATATCCTTTTATTTAAAAAAAAAAAATTTCTATCTTGCATTAAAACGATTAAGGGGGCAGTGGTTATAGAAAATGATCAATAAGTTTAAGTTGTACCTATACATTGGTGATTATTCCCGACTACTATAACAGCTGAAGTATCAAGGGCAGTTTGAATGTTTTTTGGTAAATTTCAGAATCAATGCAAAAAGTGTTCGCGTGTTGATTATACTAGTGCCATGGAATTTCACTCAGTAATATGTCATTAGCAAAAATAGTGCCGAACTATAAAGTTTATCGAAAAATACAATACGGTGTTTTTCAGATTATATAAATAATAGCAAAATATTATAATTATATTTTATATCATAATTCTCTTTTATTTGATATTCCACATATTATTTATATGTCTTATAATAGTTGTATGTGTTTTTATTTAAAGATTTGTTAGAATTGATGGTTTATATTTAATCAATTTTTTTTGGAATAAAACTTATTTAATGTTTTTTTTTTTTTTGACAATCTAAGAATCTATACGACTATGTAATTTCCTATTTAAGTATAAGTATAGTTGATGTAACGTATACCAAAATTATAATTCGAATTGCTAGAATGTCCACATTTGAAAACTATGCTAATAATTAAAAATTAAGACCTTTTTCAACTATAGATTATCAAGTTGTTTATTTTACATTATCATTTTTGAAAAAAACTTAAATTATTCAAGTTTTCTTGTAAAAAAAAAAACATTAAAAAGTTTTATTTTTGTTTCGTAATTTCTATAAATTATACGTTGTTATTATAATTATCTATCAATTATTTTTACATTCGATAAGCAAAAAATTCAAATATTTAACGTTAAAATAAATTCAGAGGTTGTTTAGTATTAACTACTACAGAATTCGAATTTAGATGAAACATTCTCACATAAGTATTCAAACATTTATTGCTTTTTCTGAACCAATTTTCTAGATAAGTACTCCAAGGAAATTTGGAAAAGGAATACGCACCTTTTGGCAATTACTTATTTATTTAATGATCTTGAATACACTTCGTCGTGTATATTCGAACAGAAAGATTAAATTTATCACTATTCATAAATGTTTTTGCCATTTTTGTTTAACGTTTGTTGTAAATCGTTAATACATCCAGAATTCTATTCTGTTTCTAAGTGTATTCTTCTTTTAAAATATTGTCTAAAACACCAAAATTAATTATTTCAACAGTCTGAATTCAATTTATGACTCTTCTTGTCTTAACTTGTAAAATATGTTTGCTATGCAATTTTAAATTGAACTTACTGCATATATCTTATACTTTTTTCAATTAAAAAGAGAGAACACTTCTGAGATACTTATTTAAAAAACATTGTTTAGTCAATGTTTGGTAAGGTACATTTTTTATTTTATTTGGTTAGCTACAATGTTGATATTAATCGTAAGATTATAGTATAAATAATGTAAACATTTTTCTTCGTCTTTTGCAGTCTCCTCCTGTGCCATGGAGAAGTATTTTAAAATCAGCTCCTTTCTGGGCCATATTGGTCGCTCATATGGGTCAAAATTACGGATATGAAACGCTCATGACCGAACTGCCGACATTCATGAAACAAGTGTTACACTTTAATATCAAAGCTGTAAGTATTCTAAAGTTTTTACTCTTTTGCATCGTTCAAATTTACTTTCGGACTTTATTTGGGCAACATGCTGATAAAATTACTTATTAAATGTTTTTAGAACGGAACATACTCTTCACTGCCGTACCTTGCTATGTGGTTATTCTCAATGGTTGCAAGCCATATAGCCGATATGATGATCTCCTCTAACAAATTCTCACACACCATTACCCGCAAAATTGTTAACTCTATCGGTATGTACCTACAATGAATTATTGTACGTAGAACTACATAAATAAGTTTAGTATTTTACATTGCTTAGAAAACTAAAGGCTATAAACTCAGTTGGAAAATACTATAAAACTAAGTAAATTTGTTTAAAACACAATAAATATACATCCTCAACTTGATACATGCGTGCAGTAAGATATAATATTGTAATGGATATGATAATAAAATGATAAATCTTTAATGTTAAAAACAGAATAAAAATTTTGTACTATATTACACTATTCAAATTTAAAAATGTTTCAAATGTTACCATTAACCTAAATAGATTTAATCATAAAAAAAAAAAAACATTATTTCTTCCATTAAACAAAAGTTTTTATTTGTATATAAAGCTTCTTACTAGACTGTGTAATAGTGAAGATAGATCTTCTATTTCAGCACGACGAATAATCTGTACATTTTAAAGGCTCATATTTCACTACTCAGTATTGTTGTAACTTTAGACTGTCTATATATCATACTGTCTCTACCTATAGGCAGTAATGCATTTACATAATAGACTAATAATATTTAACTTGGAATAAAATATTATGGAATTATATTACATTTAAACATTGTTCCTTTATTATATTTGTTCAAACTTTGATAAAAATCTTTTAAATAAATAAATATATTCTTAAGAAAATTTATAATAATTGAGATTAAAATGCTGAAAAAAAGGATTTCATTAAACAATACATGCAATATCCGATAAAACTTTTAAATCTGTATATAATATAGTAATTTTTCAAATATTTTCATCGCTAATTTCACAATTAACTTCGTATATTGTAGCTCATACACTTAATAGGTTAATATTGTAAATTACTTCATTAATTTTTGAAGGTTAAACAGGAATATCGTTCGATGACATCTTGAAATAATCATTTAGTTTCAAATAATTTTTATTTTCAGGTCAGTTTGGTCCAGCAATAGCATTAATTGCTGCATCTTACACTGGCTGTGATCCATATTTAACAGTTGCCATTCTAACTGTGGGTGTGGGCTTAAATGGTGCAATTTATTCTGGATTCAAAGTGAACCATCTAGACATATCGCCACGGTTTGCCGGAATATTAATGAGTTTGACCAACTGCCTCGCTAATTTAGCCGGATTATTAGCCCCGATCGTCGCTGGATATGTTATTGATAAAAGAGTAAGCTTATCATTATTATAAATTTGTGGTTTTCTGAAATAATTAAAATGTAACGTGTCTATAATTTTAATGTAAATCTTGAAACGATATCACATGACATTACAATGTGAAAATCATCGAAGGCTATAAAAATCAATTTATAAATGTATAACAGTTATTTATTTTTTTTTTTTTTTTTTTTTACAGCCAACTCAAGCGGCCTGGAGGGTTGTGTTCATTACTTCAGCTTGCGTTTATATAGTATGTTGTTCTGTTTACATAATGTTCGGCGAAGGAACTAGACAACCATGGGACAACCCGTCCAATGATCATTTGAACAGCAAACAGCACAAAAAAAAACAGAAGGATATCGAGGACACCGTCCAGTGAATAACAGCGACCCGGACGACACGTTTTAAAATCAAATTTTCTTCTCTCAGCAATTCATTCCCAAATAAAACTTAACTACTTATCTACTGTCGTGGACCTCGATTAAAAAGGAAAATATATATATAGCTGTTTGTGTGTGATTGTGTAGGTTTAAAAAAATTGGAAGCGCGTCTGTGAATAGGTTTGAATAAAATAAACGGTATTATTCTTCGTATATTGTTGTTGATATATATGTATACACACTTCATTTAATATTTTATTTAATAAAAACTTAATTTTTTTAGATTTACATTAAATTTATTCGAGTGTCGAATCTTGACATCATAGAAAGCACATTCTATTAATTATATTTATAATTATATTTTTTTATAATAATAATAATATGAAAAAAAGTCGCTGTTAGAACAATATTGTCTATTTTTAAAAATAAAACTTATTATTAAATTGATATAAAACTATATATTAAAATAAGTTCAATTTTTCGTTCTGTACGTGACTACTTAGCTTTAAAATTAAAAAAAAAAATAAAATATTGTGATATTGTTAGTAGTATATTGTTGCTCTGGAAAAGTAAATAGCCTGATGTGTTCTTAAATCTCTCAAAATGTATGTCTTCCCCAATCAATATAAAGTCTCATCTCAATTTTATCACTGATTATACTTTAGTAAGTTTTACAAGCAAGCGATTGCAGAATACATATAAATACTTATGTATTGCTTTTTAGTATATATGATACAATAAATACTATAAATATAAAGAAACAAACATTTAATAATCCTGTGTTCCTCTATCCAGCTCAAAATTTGTTATTTTAATTTTAATTATTCCGTTTAGTTGCAAAATATGTTGTATTAGAACATAAAGTCTCAAGCAATAACTAAAGTAGTATATTCTTAAAAACATTTGTAGATAACATTTTGGGAATATGTACGATACAATAGGGCAATTGGTGAAACAATTTATTTTTATTATCTAATTAATATATTGTATCGTTATTTTGTCACACACTTTAATATTAAGTAAATAATATATTTATTTGATTATTATATTGTCACTATTTACATTTTTTCCAATGTGATAGATTATTATAATATAATTACTGAATTATTTGTTAAATTATTTATTAGTGTTAAAATATAGTTCTATTTTTAAGTAATTGTTTCTGGATTATTTTATTGTTGTTTTAAAGTTTAGAAATTCACCGTTAGTGAGAATGATTATAACTGTTAAAAATAATTAAGTATAACAAAAAAAAAAAGATATTTGAATACAATATATGTAACCATATTCAATATAATTACTAATATTTTGTACAAAAAATCTATAACTAGTGTTTTAATAATACATGCATGTATTTTATTGCCTAATTCTTAAAACTTTCACAATTTTATCCATATTACTGCTAGTTGGCCTAATAAGTTACCAAGAAATGTTAAAAGGAATACTATTGTAATCTTTATTTTTTTGGCGATTAAAAATGAAGTCAATTTTTAAAAATAACTATATCTATCAAAAATGAGTGGCTCACTGAAGAGAAAAAAGTATTTGTCTTATTTATTAATTCATATACCTATCCTTCTATTAACAGGGTAATATTATTACTAAAATCTAGGCCTAAATATAGTACCTAATTTAAGTTCATTTGACCGTTTGTCTTATGATAATGTATTTTGTAGGTTAATTTATTCTTTAAATATTATTGTTACTATTTATTTTTCATTTTTTTTATATTTAAGTATATGTATATGTATTATTTTTATTATTGTATTTATTAATTTTTATTTGCACGTTACATATGCACAATTTCATGTTCTTATTAATTTCATTCAAGAAATAATTAACTATGTAATAATATAATTTATTTTAGCTCTTGTATTATTGCTGTCTAATATTTCTTTTTTTTTGTTTAGACAAAATAATTGTTTCTATAATAGTGTATACCAAATAACTAATTCATAAAATACGAATATATTGAAATCATTACTACTATGAGAAACATTCTATACGTAATTATTTTTAATTAAAAAGAGTTTATGAGTTAAAAATATTTTCAAAAACTTGTATCTTCAACGTATTATAATATTGTATAACAGATGTTTTGATAAAACAATTTATCAACGATACTTGTCATGCAGTATCTTAAATGCCTAATACTGTTGGGCTAATAGTATGTTCTATCAATTTAATTATGACTTAAATATAATAAATTTAACGGACTGTTATTAGATGAAATATGTATTTACTATTGTTTAGGTTGTCAATTAATATGCTAGAAATAAATACAGAAATTTCAATACAAATATATTATTATTGTACTTTTGTATTCATTCCAAAACATTCTTTTAGGAAATAAAAAGAAATCACGATTATGCTTCTAATGTATTAATTATAACATTAAATTTAGTATCTTACACTGTTAAAAAATATTTGGTGGTTTACGAGTGAATAAAACATTATGATATGCTAAAAAATAAAGCTACAATTTTATTAAAAAATCCAATTCGCCTTATTGTTTTTGTCTGTCAGTGAAATGTGAAAGCTACTCGTACGAAATCAATAAAAAAAATATATTATACTGTGCCATTTATTTGTGTTTACCTAGATTCTGTGCATTTTTACATTTAAGCAGTGACATTTGTTTTATTTATCTGCCATCGAGTTTAATTTTGTCCAATTTTTCAGGTACATACATTTATCAATAAGAAAATATATTTTTCATTCGCGATTTCATTGCAATATTGTCGGTTTAAATTTTTTATAAATTTAAGTTTTCCGTGTATTCTAATAGTATACAATTTATTGACAACTAAAATTTAAAATCACTTACATAAACATAGTTTTATTTAATTGACCAAAAAAACTTATTAAAATCTTAATGTTTCAGCAGAAGTTTAGCTAGAAAAAATTAACAGAATTATTCTTGTTTAAATAATAAAAGGACACTATTGTAAAAATATGTTTATTTTGAGAGTCTAGATTTGAAATACACGAGTAGAAACAATATTTTTTACAGTATACTATAACAAACATATTAAATTTTAAGAAGTAAATTTCTTTATATGATTAGTTTATTTCATGTAATTCAAATAAACTTAACCAATTATATTTATACATTTTCCAATAAAATTAAAAATTTTAATTATAGTCCATTCACATATATGTATAAAATTCGTCTAATAAATTTTTACATTTAAAATAAAACGTATTCTATAAAAAAAAAACTATCACAGAGGGGTCGTGGTGACGTGGCATAGTTGGATGATCAAGTATAATGATATCAGACAGTGATTAAAATTACTATCATAAAAAATGCATCGATGCAAATCTATAGATAGTGTTTAATTTTAAAAAATTGGTGGATTGTTCCAAAAGCTACATGATCTGATATTCCCTTATTTATATTCTGATTAAGATAAAGTATATCGAATGAAAAATGGATATAAATATTATTTCTTATAAAAAAATTGTGTGATCCATATACTTTTCAATAAGTTATAGCATTATAAAGTTAAAAATGTAAAAAATAAAATCAAGAAATTTCCCAAAAAAATAGCATTTGGTAACCATTTTCACTGTGAAGACGATATAAATTTTTTTTTTTCATAATAAAGTACATTACATTAGCTTTAATTTAAGATATATATAAAAGTGTCAGACTTTCCAGAACACTTTCAAAAGTTAAGTTGAAAAAGTTAGTTTCTTTTTGAAAAAGTTGTCATTTTGAATATCCCCCTGTGATGTGGTAAAGGGTCAGATTTATAAAAAAAATATACCAAATGATAGGTACAGACATCATGCATCTATAAAAAAAAATTAATTTATTCATTTTTGAAAAAGTTATGTAAAAGTTAAAGTAAAGTTACTTTAAGTTTAAAGTAAAAAAAATTGAAAAAATATCAAAATCTAGCAATTTTTAAATTTGTAATTTTTTTGAAGATTTCCCCCATTTACGAGGAACAAGGAAATATTTTTCAATTTTTGAGGGTAATGTCTTCGACTAGATACGATTTGTGATCTTTTGAAGTATCGTTGAAAGAAATCAGTTCGGCGAGAGCTGAGAAAAAAGTGGTAACAGGCACAAAAAAAAAAAAACATTGTAAAACAATTTTGCATTATTGTTTTGATAAAATATTTATAGTATCAACAGAAACAATGTTTCTATCAATTTCATTTAGTTTTTAGCTTTGATACGAAGCTGAGAAGGTATTAATTTTACCATGATGTGTTTTTTTTTATGTCTGTTGCCACTTTTTCTCAGCTCTCACTGGACTGATTTCTTTCAACAATACGTCAAAAGATCACAAATCGTATCTAGTTGAAGGCATTACTTTTAAAAATATTTAAAAAAATTACAAATTTAAAAATTTTGTCATTTTTTTCACATTTTTTCTTAAAAATTCCATAACTTTTTCAAAAATAAACAAATCAACATAATTTATTTTTATATTAAAACATTAGATATTTCCCTTTCATTTGATATTATTTTTTTTGAAAATCTAACACTTAACCTGCTCATTGGGGGGGATTTAAAATAGCAACTTTTTTACAAAAACTAACTTTTTCAACTTAATTTTTGAAAATGTTCTGGAAAAACTGCGTCCTTTAAACATATATCAAATTAAAGCTTATTTTATGTACTATAAAATAAAAAAAAAATTTATTCCGACATTTTATCTTCTGCATGTAAACGGCTGCCGTAGTTAAAAGAACGCTAATTTTGTGTTAAAATTTTCGATTTTAGATTTTCAATTTAAAAGTGCTATAACTTTTCAAAAAATGTAATTATCAGCACAAATTTTTTTTTTCTAAATACATTATAAGTACATCTTTCATTTGATATACTTTTTATTAAAATTAGACAATTTTCTTATATATAGAAGGCGTTCAAAACTTGAAACTTTGTATAAGAAATAGAACTTTTTCAACTTAATTTTTGAAAATGTTACGGAAATACTACGTCCTTTAAACATATATCAAATTAAAGTTTATTTTATGTACTATAAAATGAAAAAAAAAAATTTGAACTGACGACCTATCTTCTATGCGCAAATGCATGTGCAAAAACTGTATTCAAAAATATGCTATTTTTCTATTAAAATTCTAGGTTTTGTATTTTATTTTATTTTAAAATATCTTATTAGGAGAAAAATTGACTTTCATGAATATTATATAATTTAATTGACATAGAATAAAGTTCATAAGACATAAGAAAT